CATGTCCACACTACCTCTGTCAGCAATGAAGATGCGAGGTTAAGACTAGAAAGGGCATCCAGGATGGGAACGGTCAACTGAGTCTTCTCCTGGAGTAAAGAGCTGCAGAGAGGAGGGGTATTAGCAGCAACCTTAAAACACAGATTGACCACAGCACATGTGTGTTAGAGATTTAGTGTACATACTTGAGCTCCCTGGCTATATCATTGTGCTGGGAGTCTTCCAGTATCTCTGGCAAACTGGTGATGATGTCACACTGAACCTCCGCCGGAGCTACTGACACCAACTCCATGAGCTTCGACGCCAAATCCTGCAGGAAGATAAATAAGCACAAAAGAAGAAACATGTGATTATAGGACAAACTCAACAGGCCAGACACACCTTCAATTACAAAAGCAACAAAACCTGTCATCAAACAAATGATTACCTTAGTGTCCACAACTCTGTCTAGCCATTTGAGTTGGTTAATAATAATGCGTGGGATACTAACTCCTCCATTGCTGGTACTATGGAGTAGAGAAGACAGTTAGATTTTTTTTAAAGACATATTAAAAGTATTCCAAATTTTAAACCAAAAAATTGTGTAGTACATCAAAATGTCAGGAAATACTGACCTATCTAACATATACTCAGGGAGCTTCTCAAGCAAGGTGTTAATGATGGAAGTCTATTAAAAAAAAGGACAGGTGATTGGGGATTTGTGGTAGTGTATTTGTACTAATACATACTGCTTTTCATTTTGACTGTGCTTGTGAAAATGCAGTTTTCATTTAGAGGTGATCACAGAAAATCTCACCTGTAACATTTCAATCCCCAACAACATCCGCAGCAGGCTTTCCTGGAATGAACTGACAGAACTGCAGCACACATGAAAACATATCAGTTTTATTAGCTTAGTCCAACTTCTAGCTGTGTCCTCCATAATTTATGGAGCTGTCAAAAGTAGCCTTATAATTCATTGGTTGTTTATGGGATGTTTACCTGGAGTCTCGATTAGACGACTGTGGGATGCATGGAAGAAGGCAGTTCCTAAACCTGTCAGTGTTCTCCATATATGACTCCAGTGCTGTGATGAATTCTTGAATGATCTAAGAGATGAAAAGTAGGAACTTAGGGCAAAACGTGTTTTTTGTTGTATTTTTGTGTTTACTGTAGGGTTGTTGTACGGTTTATACTCACACCAGGATACCTGGGGCTCTTCTGAATTTGCTGCTGTATTCGTCTCTGAAACACTACTTGGTCAACACCTGGAGAGGGATAAGACCAGATGTAGGTGAGCATCTCATTTCATTTACAGCCCTGCTTTGTTTCAAAACTGAATTGAGTGCGTTTACCTATCTCGTTAGGCATGCCGCCCTGTCTCAATGTGACACCGGCCACTCTGACAAAGTCAACAAACACACACTGACTGGTCTCCTCTGGGGCAGCTTCCTTAGACTGGCGACCAGCGCTGCGACTCTTCTTCACTTCTGAAAGCAGATATAAACCTTAAAAAACAATATCACAGAAAACAGCTATACAGCTTCTCTCGCGGGAAACTGTGTCAACATAGGTGCTACTTAGCTCCCAAGACTGATGAATTTTTTTGGGAATACATGGAGAAACATGCCTTATACACATACACGTTTTAAACTTACTAGGTGCTGCAGGAGCTCCCTCTCCTTTATCCACGGAGGAGCGTCGCTTTTTGCGCATCATCTGATGAAATATGAAGGACAGAAGGCTGTTAATAGCTATATTAGGCTACCAGACACACACAGGGGAGTTAAAAAAAAAAGAGGGGACGGTAACCACTGTCGCTATAATAAACGACACATTTCAATAACTTTAACACAAACGTGCTTTAACATCATGTCGATATGAAATGTTCTGGTAAGGTTGACAGAAATGTTTTTATGAAAAATGGTAGACATACTTTTACTGAGCAGACGAAGCCACGGACGACCAGACACCGAAGTTACAAAACAAACTTCCGCGCCAAACAGCTCCGCGTCATCAGTGTCGTCACACTCGCGCATCCTATTGGCTGCTAGAAAAGCTCAGCCATAACTGCACCGTTATAGGTCACTCTGTTTACTGATCTGTGTGCTGTATTTTACTGCAGTCCGTCAGTAATGTGCAATATTTTCATTTTCAAACACTCAGCCGGTGTGTATGAGGTGATCATACTTAAGCGTTTGGGACTGGATACATAATAACTGAACCGGCTTTACGGGACGAGCAACTCCATCAAAGAAGTACACTGGATCAAGCTATTGCAGTGCCCCTTGCTTTCTTCTTCGTCTCTCTTAGTTTGCCGACAACATTGTCCCGCTAATATTTAAATTTATTAAGTTAATACATTACTTATTTACATAAAAAATATATTAATAAATATCGTTTTTATAAGTAAATTTTTATTAAAAATAAATAATCATATTTATACATGAGCCTGTATGGAACCCCACAATATTTTCATGACAATACATTAGTGTGTATTTTGACAGTCCGCCTACAAAGTATTTGCATGTATATTCAGCTTTAACTGTACTTATTGTATACTTTCTTTATTTTTTACTTTTTTGCTCTCAACTGATGACATGCAGATGCAGCTCAAATAGCTGATTTTGTTTCCACAGAAAATTTAGAAAATGTGGGCTAGTTCTGAAGAAGCACCAAGGTAGGCCTGGCTTTGCACCTGCAGCCAAATTGGGGCAGTGGAAAAGAGGCAGGACACAAATGTGCAATCAATACAGACAGTGTACATGTGCATATCAATTCACATGTACACATATCAATTCACAGGTTCTCAGGGGTGTTTGGAGCAGGTTATCGCCCTGCGTGGTATACCAGCCCACTAATTTCAGGGAGTGAACTATCTTGGCAGGCAATACAAGCTCTTTGACCATATAAAGCTGGTCCAAAGAAACAGAAGAGCGCACTGTGTTGGTAGTGAAGAAGGCATCTGCTCTACCTGAAGAAAGGAGGAAGAAAAGAAAAGAAAACAATGGCTACAAGTTTTTACGACCTCACGGCCAAACTGTTGACCGGGGAGACGTTTAATTTCTCGTCCCTAAAGGGCAAAGTCGTCCTCATTGAGAATGTCGCTTCTCTCTGAGGTACGACCGTCAGGGATTACACCCAGATGAACGAGCTCCACGAGCGGTACGCCAGCAAGGGGCTTGTGATCTTGGGAGTACCCTGCAACCAGTTCGGCCATCAGGTGAGAAATTTATCCCGTCTATCTGCGCTTTGAAGCACATGGCTAAGGCCTTTCTATCCCGTCAGTCTAGAAATAATCATTCTGTAAGTATCGTTACTCTAAATTTCCTGCTTTCACCGTTAATTTATCCTATTTTCCCGGAAATGGCTGACTTATTTGTATTTAATCAAATTAGAGGAAGTTATTTCCACCCCTTATTTAAAGGTTTAATCTTGTATAGTTCCCAAGTTTACTGGCAAGTTTTAGATCGGGCTTTAGTATAATATTAGTCAGCTTGTAAGTACAAGAGACACGTCTAAATCCATAGGTTATTAGTGCTGTTATTATATTAGCTGAATGCGCAAAGCATTGGTGACTTTTAGCGAGGAGGAAGTTGTGGCTGTGTGAGAGATTTTCGTCTTACAACAGAGTTTTTACGCAATATGAAATATACTTTAAAATGGTTAATATTTTATAAGGCGCTGAAGGACTACACAGGTTATTGTTACTAGTTACTTATTGATACATAGTTATTGGTGGGATTCAAATAATATTGAATACTTGCTGTAGGGAACAGGGACGTTTGTATTTTCTGGTTCTTTCCGATAAGAATGAGCCAAGAGTGTAACTGTGTGCAGGAGAACTGCAAGAATGAAGAGATCCTCCTGTCGCTGAAGTATGTCCGTCCTGGAAATGGCTTCGAGCCCAAGTTTCAGCTCTTTGAGAAGATGGACGTGAACGGGAAGGACGCCCACCTCCTGTTTGCGTTCCTGAAGGACAAGCTTCCAACACCCAGCGACGACGCAACGTCTCTGATGACCGACCCCAAGCTGATCATCTGGAGCCCGGTGTGCAGGAACGACGTGTCCTGGAACTTCGAGAAGTTCCTCATCGGGCCGGACGGTGTGCCGTTCAAGCGTTACAGCCGGAGGTTCCTCACCATCGACATCGAGGGAGACATCAAGAAGCTCCTCAGCCAGACGAATTAAAACCTCGTCCTAAATGCTGAAGCAGCCTGCAGCTTAGCACTATGTGTGTGTGTAGCCTTCATAACGAGAGAAACACCACTGCGCTTACAGCTTCAATAGATGCCACCTAAACTCACCACCTGTGCTCTCCTGTACGCAGTAGCTGTCTCCTGCTTTCTTTTTTTTTACTAAATGAAGAAATCCTCTGAAACCAAACTGTGAGGAGGATATCTGATGAAATGTAAAAGGCAGGACTGTTTTATCTCTTCAAAGCTGCGCTGGGTGCATGTAAAGCACAGCTGTGGTGTCAAGTTTAAAGGGGATCAATAAATATATTTTTTGCAAACATTTCTCTGACTCCTAATTATATATATTTATATATATTTTCTTGTTTAAAGGTCATATTTGAGGGACTATTTTGTCAGCTTAATCTTATTAGCATATCTAAAAATACTCAGACATTTTCTGTAAAGGAGGGCTGGGGAAAGGTTATGAGTGGTAGATTATTCATCCACAGGCAAGTGTTGGCTTTGTATATAGCTACAGTACACCTGATTACAGGTGTGTTTCCTGTGCTTACATGTAATTGTACATCAGAGTTCCTTTTGCAAACAGTCAGCATTACTGGCAGGCAATTTAGGTTGCATCACCTGCAACCAGAGGTAATTATCTTAACACAGACAGCAGTACTTACAGCTTCAGCGTGAGGGTTATATTGCATGCAATTATTCTAAACAAAGCACCTCATTGAGGACTTGAGCTTTATTACGCTTTGTATCACATTTAAGTATCGCATCACCTGAAACCAGAGGCAATCTGTGTTATATTGCAGTGCATGTCCAAACAAGTGAGCTTGTTGAGGCTTCCAGTCTTTATTGTAATTTGAATTCAAATATTTTTCAGTTAAAAACAAAACTGCAGATATCGGCAACAAGATAAATATGAGAACAATCATTTTTACACCTATTTAAAATAGTGTTGATTATGTACAGATCGAGTTTGAACTGCTGACATAATTTTGGGTGGATAAGAAGACAAGATTTTCTGCTGCTGAACTGTTTTCAGTTACATATCTAGATTACAGATATAAAGCTTTTCTAGTTTTAGGCATGAATGATTGTTTAGGTAGTTTGAACAACATGATGATGCCAGGACCAACCAGCAGGGAGGACACCCAAAGGCCCTGTATGTTAGCGTGCCATTATAAAACCAGGTGCAGATTTATGCCCCAGAACAAGCCTTGTGGGATTACATTATATTAAGTGTTAACTGTCACAAGTAAATGCATTCTAGTTTTTACTTGATCACATTCAAAACATCCAGTCACCACTTACAAATGTGCTCCAGGGGATTGTTGTGTATGTCTGGCCTTCAATAATATAAAATAAAAGAATCACTTTCAACTTTACTTAAGAGCCAACTGCTGTATTAGTATCACTGGAAGGAAAACCGGCTCAAAGTGCCTGCATTCAGTGAGAATGCTGTTAAATGACTGCTTTCCTCCACCCCCATCTGACATCTAACACATTTTTCCTTGTGATAAGGAGCAAAGTTCAAGTTTCATGAATAAAGCACCACTTTTATTCTAGTTTATTTCGCTTCACTCAGTGTGCTTAGAAGATATCAAATATCATAGCCATTTCAATACAGAGCTGCATTATTGTACAAGACTAATTAGGACAAGCTATCGCAAGTGAACTAAGGGTCCGGTCAGGCAGCTTAAAAGACACATTAAAATTATGTGGACGCATATGACAGACCAAACCCTTTAATGCTAAAGGCCTAACCATACACTTCCATGATTTCTAGATACACCAGAAGCAGGTAGATTTTCACGGAGAATTCAAAGTGCCTCCTTTTTAAACAGGTTGCAGGAATTGAAAGGCCGCTTTTTTCATTATGATTACAAAAAAGAAAAAAAAGAAAATACAAATTGTGAGCAGGGTAAGACTCCTCTCATGAGTTTAGGGCCCCGAGAGCAGAGCCCGTGCTGTGCATCAAAACATATTCGGGGGAGAAAAAAAAACAAAACAAAAAAAACAACTCATGGCTGAACTAGAGCAAGGCCAAAACAAAAAAAACAAACCCCCCAAAACAGCTTCTGCCACAACTCATGTCAAGATCTAGATGTTAGGGACCTTGAAATGAGACACCCTCTCTGTGGTCTAGATGCGGCACAGATCCACTGCTACCGGTAGTCTGAAGCCGAAGGATCCCCTCAGAAATAGTTTCACTTTAAACAGGTGGCATAAGGTAACAGGATTCTTTCAACAAAGAAGGTGCCATGTACTGTCATGTGTGCACATCACACTGCTAAAATTTACCTTAGCACAGCAAGAATATGTGAGATAAATCTAGGCACAAAGCCAGCATCCTGGAAACACATCAGTTTGTTCATTTTATCATAAATACCTTGGATCGCTTTGGTTGAAACAAATGCATTTGGCTTTTTGTTTTAAATATTTCTGCCTGGTCTTGTGGGCAACAGAAACATTTGTTTATCTATATATTTGAGGGCACTTCTAACCTTAAGTTTCTATATTCACTTATATTCCTCTTCAATCCAGACTAGCAAACTACTTTAAGAAATCAGCAGACCACCCGCTGCAGGGAGGAAAGTCTCACAGTTCACTCTTATGTCAAGGCTGATGGCTGTAGCTGACAACATATGAGACAAATCAAAATACAGGGAAGGTAGGATTAATAATTTTATGTCTGTGGAATCCTCTGCCACTAAAGTAGCTTTGTGTGTGCGTCCGAGTGTCTCTATTTGCCATATGCACTTCAGTGTGTGTCCCTTTTCATCTGGGCTTCCTAATTTGTGTCCATGTGGTCATCGGCTGGCTCCGGGGCTCCTCCCAATGACGCCGAAGGTTGAGGTTTAGAGGGGCTTTCTTCGTCTATGCGCTGATAGAACAGCACGTAGGCGGCTTTAGTCTGTAATGGCACAACACGGGTAAGATTACATTACTAGAAGAGGAATACTTGACACCAAAGTCAACACACCAGCAAGTGTCAGTACTCATTCTTTCACTTGAAAGACTAAAGAAAACAAACACCCAGTGATCACCAGTACACAACACTGAAAACTCACCACTATCTGATCCTCTGTGGCAGATGAGACGCTGCTGTCATCAAAGTAATACCACTTTCCATCCACTTTATTCTTGCCATAAGCCGTGTCTGTTACACAGAGACGGTGTAAGGTTAACGCATGACTTTTCAGGAATTTTGTTCAGGAAGACATAAAAGTCTGATTACACTGCTTCACTATGACAAAAGATGGCATATCAAAGAAAAATAAACTGAGTGTGAGTGCACAATGAAAACAATGATGTACGAGGCTCTACGCCTTATTACATTTTAACCAAATGCAGCGTCCTTGGAGACAGAGTGACTTTCTGAGCACCCCATCTGCTGACACATACTGTCATATACTGTGTTCATGTTTAAAGGCTAAAAAAAACTGCGACCAGCAGTTGGCATCAAAGACTACATAGGGGAAATTTCATTGTATAAATTAAATGCTGACTTACAGTGACCCCCTCCCATTCCTCCATAGTGGTTTGACACAGCAATAAGGTCGTAGACGTAGGGGCCGGCCTTAGGGTCACACACAAACTCAGACATGTTGAGATCCCTGGCAGAGAAAATACCATCAGATGGTGAAACCCTACATGTACTGCACTGTTTAAGCCATCCTTACTAAGTGTGAGTCAGACTTTTGTTTTAAAATAAGGATTTCAGCAACACAATCTGCTCTGTGGTTTCCGTTGGATCAAGTTCCTCAACGGTGTTCTAAGATTGAAATGTAGCCGTTAGCTTAACTGTGAGGCAACTTCCCTTTTATAACACAATAGAACATTTGTGTCTCTCTAATGAGGGAGTGGGGAAAAAGTTAACAAATTAACCAGCGTTGGGAAATCTTATGCATTTGTCACCTAATATCTTAGTCATGTAACAAACTCCATTGTTCCTCAGTCACACACCCACAGCAGCAGGTTTCTGGAGCAACCTTGGGTGTCTAGCCCAAAGTTGCCATGTGGAGGAAAAAACAAAACTGCAAAGCCCTCGATTAATGAACAACCTGGGCAAACAAATTACAAAAATCCACACAACCGTAAAAGATAAGAGCAGAAAGTAGGTCTAAATGTTCTATTTGGGGTCATGCCAGTTTATAAGATAATAATCCACTTCTTGTAAGTTGAATAAGTGTTTCCTCATTCAGAGCTCTGGTTGGTTATTCTGTGAATTTCAAACTACAGCTCCCTCTAGAGTCAAAGCTATACCAATACTACAGTGTTTTCCAGTTCCTTATTTTTAAATTTTCACTATTTTACATGAAACTGCATTAATGGTTGTAATCATTTTTCATACACTTCCTTTAACTTTAACTTAAGACAAATCTTTTTAAAACACACAGTTTTTCCATTTATATTACAAGAGGCCTCTCAATCAACGCTGTAACATCAGTCATGGTTTAATGATGTTAAGAGTTGTCATCTTGATTGACAATGCAAATTGAAATTTAGCTGACATGACTAAGGAAGGAACCATCTTTACAAAGAAGGTTCTGTAAAGAAGTATTATTTTCTACCTTCACTACATGGGTAGCTGCTATGTGGAAAACTAAATCATTGTTTAGCCCATTGCTCTCTTATCTATAAACAAATCACACTAAAAATAAACTGAGAATCATGTCCTTATTTAGTTTTTCAAGAAGTTCTATTTGTAAGTACTGAAGTCAAAAATGTGTGATACTGATCTTGACAACAGTATGCTGACAATGAGAATTTTAGTTTTTTTTATTTCTCCTACCAAAAGGTACAATATTAAAAAGTTAATTTGTAAAAAGCATGTGACTGAGTATATAAAAGGCAGGAGGATTTTTTTGCATCTGTATTTGCTAATGCTACTGGACACAGCCAATAAAAGGAAAGAGGGAAAACTGAGTAAAATATCAAAGTCCCAAATGGTGAAAAGACCAACTGAGGATTCTGCCACGACAGTACATACCTGATGGGAAAGTCCACCACTGTGTCCAGCTTGTCCCTCCAGCATCGGTTGTATGAGAAACGCTTTAGATGAACCACCAGAATCCGAGGAAGTGACCATAAGTCAAACTTCTTTGTGGCCTGTTGGTGTTTCTTGCATGTTGGACAATACCTACAAGAACATATTCAGTTTAGATAAAATATAATGTGTGTAAACATTTAAGAGTAAGTTATGCTGAAGGGTCCTCACCATGGGTCATGCTCTCCCAGTGTTTCCATTGTTGTAAAGAGCTCGATGCATTCCCTTAGAGCCACAGTGGTTTTCTTTTTTTGGGGCTGCAGCATGCTCTCATGCTTCTCATAAGCCTAAGCACAATATTTACACAAATATAAACAAAGTGTATGAGCGCTGTGTCACAGAACTGTGTGACGAATATCAACTGACCTCTGCTTCTGGTTCATCATAGTAGAGTTTCTTCGACTCTGTGTCCCAGTCGATGGCCACTGTGGAATGTGCTGCAGAGGAGAGAACGTGGAAGAAGCTGTGTTATCGTAAAGTGGCCTGAAAAAAGGAAACTTTCCATGCAATTGAAGTTTAAAGATGTACACTGACGATTAAGTTTGAGGACATTTCCATCACAAGGCAGCGGGCTAATGTTGGCCGTTCCGTAAGAGTTGACTATGCTGAATGTAAAGAGCTTGGTCGTGTCTCCTTTGGACCCATTTTGTAAGTCAGAGGCCTCCTCCTCCTCTTCAGATTGGCCATTTTCTGGCTCTGGACTCACTTGGTGGTCCATGGCCTCTTCTTCACCTAAACAGTGACATAAACCACATCTAATTATTCTTGTTGCAATGCTTTTTGAGTGCTCCTTGATGACGACTCCTCAGCTGGATATGAGTAGTTGATGTCGGCTTCGTACCATCATACAACCCATTCGTTTCATTGCAGGTCCCTGAGTGGTTGCTGCCATTGCTGGAGCTGGCGCTGCAGGAGGCCCCATCTGATAAGGGACTGCCACAGCCACCCAGGCTGGCATTGAGACTAGAAGATGTAGAACATTCAGGGGCCTGACTGCAGCTGGATATGGTGGCTGAGGCTGACGCCCTGCTTTCAGTAGAAGGGCTCTGGGAGCGTTTTACATAGCGTCTGCAACACACAACAAGGAATACGAGTTAACATGGTTAACCAATTCTGGAAAGAATTCAGGGTGTGCATGTTCTGCTCCCTTTCCATTAAACTTCTTCATGTCAGATGTACTGTATGCACACTGCTACTACACCATAATATAGCTGAATTTCTTTTTACCAATATAGTAGGTTCTTACCCAATCCTCTCTAGGATCTTATCATAAAGAACGTCTGCTATGAGGTTATGTCTGGGCACGGTGATAAGTAAAGGCTGGCCAAACAGCATGGTGCTTGTGGAGCTTCCAGCATGCTTTGAGTGGCGCTCCCTGAAATAAACAGGCAGGCTCATCCTTTCACTGTTCTCCTCCTGTACCTCATACCTGCAGAGAGCGTTGACACAAAAAAGGAAACACGTCTTACACTCACATTGTACAACCACAGTGAGTGAGTTCTCAGATCATCACCAGGTCAATAACACAAACTTACACAAAGATGTCATCCTTTTCCATGATTTGGTTGAGACCATCATCCCGTCTATAAAGTTTATGGAATCTGTGATTGTAAACATCTGCCACCACCATCTACAAAGATAAAGGAGGCAAATTTAGAACAAACTATAAACTGTTTCCCAAGAGTAAGAAAAACAAACATGTGAGCATCATAAATTAGACAAAACTCGTGATGTAAAAGAATAAGATTCTAACATTTTCTGGAGAGATTCCACAGAGTTTGGACAAGGCGCTGCACAGGTCTGTTATAGTACCCAGTTTGGGGACCACCACCCGATACTGCAAGACAAAGAAAACAACATATGATGTTCTCAGTGACTATGCTGCTATTTTAAAGAGATATAGAAATATATCTTAGACATATCAACTATCAAATTTTTTTTTAAATCTCCAAATCATAGATACTTATCAGTTTGACTGTGGATTTAGGTCTGGAGCAGCGAGTGAAGGTTAATGCCAACTCACCTGTGTGGGTCTTGACTGAGGGTCTGATCGCACCAGGAAAACTTCCATGGTACGGTCCTTCTTCAAGGGCAGAGGCAATGTGAGGTAGCAAAATGGGTCAAAGGTAACAGATACCTTGGAGCACTCTGGGCATACCAAGGTGGATTTGAAGAGGCCATGGAAAATATCAACTATAATAGAGTCATTGCGCAAACGGTGGTTTGTCCAGGCTTCCTTGGCAACAATCTGTAGTTCACCAAGCAGTGGAGAAAAGGAAGAAGACCTCCATTAGATGGCATTTTAAAACCATCAATTCAACGATGATATTGCTTTCTTGTTACTATACAGAAAAACTATTTCATGTCTAGCTGTCAGTATAAAGCAGACTGGCAGTCATTCTGTTTCAAATTTAAAGGTTCTGTAAAGGTTGATATTTCGGCACCACCATGAGAGAATCAGACAGACTTTTACTCTTTAGAGACAAAACAACACGATATCTACATCTGTACTATACCTCATCTGGACGGCCCTCTGCATCCCTTAGGGCCAAGTAAGGCTTCTTCTTGACCCTATTCAGATCTTCATGGAGCCCGTCAAGAAGGAAGGCCAACAGCTCCTGAGAGTCCTGCTGCTGATAGCCTGAAAACTGGGGGGCAAAGCGTCCGACCTGGGTCTGACAATCAAAGGATGATTATTATTACCTTCATAGGCCTCGATGAGTTTGCCTGAATGTATTCAGTCGGTATACACCGACTTCAGTTCAAGCTATTTGACACAACTTACTTTGAAGGTACGTGGGGCCACATAACTGCTGCGGCTGAGCCACATTTGTTTTACTAGATCTGCATAGGCCTCAGCTATCTCCCCCCTCATTCCCAGAGGATTCTCTCTGTTTATCTCTGCCTCATACTGGTCAGTGAGGAAGTACTCTGTAAGTGGAGATGCATTGCTCAGGCACTGAGGGAACAGGAACCAAAAAAAGAAAAGACACGAAAAAGGATTATGTGCACAGAAATATTAAAGCTCACTTCCACTAAGCGGAAGCTGCAAATGCTTGTTGTTTTTTTTACCTGAAGGGCAGAGTTCATGAAGCACGTATTTCCCAAATTACTGAGCCCACATAAGCCAGGCTGCGATTGTGACTCCCTGTAATTGTAGGAGCTGTATGAATTGTAGCTCCCATATCTGTTGGCAGAAAGGATGTGATAGTTTGTCTGTAGTATTGTATTCAGGATACAGCTGTTAACACATGGTAATCAAGTAAGCTAGGTGCATATAAAATCCCAGTTGTCCTACAAATAAGCCTATAAACTACGTGCTCTTTATTATTCAGCATACTAGTACACTAAAGCATGCATGCAATCTACATTTTTTTATAACTTAAATATGGTCAGACAATAGACAACGGGCATCTTTAGATCTTTAATCACTCTCTCAATGTAACAAAAACTAATATTTTCTCATTTACTGTCTACATATTTCTGCAAATTTCATTAAAGCAGCAGACTACATAAAGAGCAAATGCATGCAGCTGATTATACCGACACAACATATGCAGTTGCAAACTACTGAAATTTGGTGTGAATATATTTTGTGCTTTATTCTGGGTGACATCAAGAAGCTAAAACAAATAAATACAAATTTAATTAAAAAACTGAGATGTTAAAAGGATAAGATAAAGACTAATGGCATTACAGACAAAGTAAAACATCACACTCCTAGTTTTGCAGCCTGTCAAGAATTTTTGTTTGTCTTACAAACTACAGAGTGGTCTGTGGGAACACAATGTGATATAATGATTTGTAAGAATTTTAACAAGTTGGAAGATGTCATCACATTTCCTTGAAATATCTTTGAAAACTCCACTTGTTGAAAACTTAGATTGGATATTGGAAAGTTGTTTTTCCCCTCTTTTTAAAATTAAGTGACAAGCTGTGTGTAAACAGTGAAAAGAAATATCACTCCTATGCCTTACAAGCTTTGCCAGTATTTATCCATGAGAGGTAAAGTTTCAATAAACAACAAAAGAGAGGGGAGAAAAAGTAGATCAGAAAAGGTGCCTTGCCTGTTGCTGGATGAGGTGCTGTTGTTCAGCGTGTATCCAGGGCTGCAGTTGCTGTCTCCATTGGTTACTGTTGGGGATGCGTTTGAGGAGAGTTTTGGAGAGGTAGTGAAATTCCTGGATGGGGTTGTACTTGATCTAGTAAGAAAGAATGAAATCGTGTTTCAGAAAAGCACATTCTTAAATATGTAAACAAACATGCCTGCGTGACTGGAGAGGAGAAGAAGAAGAAGAAGTAAAAAAAAAAAAAAAAAAAAAAAAAAAGCTTACTTGGGATGTGAAGCTTGTCTGGGCCACATACCATCCTCATTTTTGCGCTCAATCACAAGCACCTGGGAAAATATTCGACATGAAAGCTAGGTTGGCACACCTGAATTTCATGCATGACTTTACACATCTCAGGCTTGAGTTTAATGCTACACATATGCCATATGCCACCAAAACTACATTAGCCATAGTTAGGTTTATGACCTGCACTTTTGTGACTAACTAATGTTTCTTTATTCTAATACATTGTATTTTTCTTCTAACTTGAAAGCTGCTATGACTGATCTGGAATTCAGTGGCCGCTGTTATAAAAAAAAAAGAATTGAATTAATGCCTTCATCTTCTCTAACCTTGATTGTGAATATAACACACAAGTTTATTATTGAGCTGTAGTCAAACAATAATCTCAAGTCTTATTTGAATAGCACTACCTGTCCCTGGAAAAGACCAGCATCCTGTACGGTGCTGTCTGGCTTGTTCAGCTGCTCGTACGTATTGCTCATGTATTTGTTCCAGAGCCTGGTCTCTTCCTCTGATGGGATATTGAACAGTGTTCTCATCTCCTTCTCTATAGTGTCTAAAAATGAGAAAAGTTTGATAAATAAGCATGAAGAGTCAAATAGTTTTATTCAGCAAACACCAACGTATAAATTACACATGTGGATGCTCACCTATAGTATCAGCTTTACTGAAATGACGTGTAACAACATTGTCCATATTGTCATTCTCACACAAGTTCAGCTCCAGCAAATAGACCTCCACTTTACAGTGTTTGACAAACATGCCATGTTCAACGACCTAGAGAAGAAAAGAGACATTTGGAAGCCCAGTCCACGCACTCTGGTACAGGGCTAAAATTAAGAATATCTTTAACAGCCTTACCTTCCTGACGATAGGTCTCTGGCCCTCAAGGCAGCCGTACCAGCTCACTAGCTTATTCCATGCCTCAGTAGGTACTAGGACATAATCAAGCTCATCTATAAGGTGCTCTTTCAGGGCTTGAGTCTCATGGTCTTTAAGGAGAAAAAGGGAAAAAAACAAACAAAAAAAAACAACACACATAAGTATAAGCTAAAGAACTAAATGTTTTGTTTTTTTATTTCTGTGTGGAACTTATATTGTTCAAGCAAAATCAACAGCAGTCCATTAGGGGATTCTTTTTAAAATGACAATTTTACCTGAGAACAGGCCAGAGTTATCAATTGGTCCTGGATAGAGGCTTCGTTCTCCAACATTGTACATATCCCAGCTGTCAAACCCCACATACTTCTTCCACTGTTTGAACCACCGACTGTCTATTAGATACCTAAAACAAATTGATCAGTCACAGTTAAAGAAAAACATATCACTCGTTGGAAGATCCTCTTTTCCCCTTAAAAGCTTTAACATTTATATCTCGTAATGGATTTCTTCCCCCAGCATAAAAAAGGGTCAAGAGATTCTAAAAGGTATGGTATAAAAGGGCACACAGCCTTACACTTTCCCAGAAGATTATGCAATACCAAACTGCCTTGGCATTTATAGTAACTGCAAGCTAGTTTGACTTAATCTCATCTAAAGAATCTCCTTTGGTTAATAAACTTGTATCCACACTGCAACACGCATTCAAATGCTAATTCAAAAAGCTGGACTATGGCTCTTTCGTGTCAACACTGTAAAATTAACGGGCTTCAAAGTGTCAAACAAACAGTTGCATGATCTTATCCCGAGATTAGTTTTGCCAAGCTATGCCTGACAGTGTTTAAGGCTCCTGGAAATGAATACCAAAGGACAGTAGTTCAATTTTAACAATACCATAAATGGAAGGGCCAAGTCATTTAAATAACTCCAGAAAAACAGGTTAGCTTTGCAGCTAGTGGCTGCAAGAATGAACGTGACCTGGTCGTTTGGCACCCACTTCTATTAACAAATGAGATTAACGGGCACGCTTGCCCATCTCACATGTCTGTGGTGTTGTGTTTACTGGCTGAGGTGAAGCCTCTTTAGTACACCGGCTGCAGTATGCCCAGGCCTGAGCAGTGTTAATGGTCTGAAACTATGTTAGCTAACACAGTTGACTTGCCGGTAAGGGGAACGTCACACGGTTTAACCGGTATGTCATGACAAGCAGGTAATTACTTCTCACATTAATTCTGTCAGCGGGCCCATTTCCTCATCATCATCCCGCAACTGACAACGAGACTGTTTCACTGGAAAAAGAAACTACAATCTGAATCCAGGGCCTTAGCTATTCTGACAGTCCACTAGCTACCACGACTGCTAACGCCGCTCAACTCATCACAAAACAGGCACTAATTAACGTGCAAATGAGTCACTTGGCAGCTGGGTTGCTTGTGTGCGTCAAGGATAATATCTGTTAATACAGGCATTAGTACTAATAGAGAAATTCAAATGTCGGGCTGACTAGCAGCAAGCGTGCTAGCCTGCCAAACTATCATTAGCACAGCAGCTATCGAGTTCAAGCTTACAAGCATTGCTGTCATTAGCTTGCTAGCTTAGCATGCTAACACTTCCTGTTTATCGGCTAATGATAGCTAAAGACCCAAGTATTGGTGGCCGCTAGCTTACCATTCGTCACCCTTTCTCAGAGACGTTTTCAAAAGAGACCCAATAGTCTGTTTTTGACTTTCGGTTGAAGGAGTCGGTATTTGTGCAGCTACCGGCTCCGAGTCGGAGTCCGCTGCGTTACCCGACTCGGGTCCGCCTCCCTCGGCCATCATGCAGCCTGTGTGCCGGTAACGTGAACGCGCTGAAACACACGCACTGGGACGGGCTTCATTTGCCTCATTCTTCCTCTACGGGTGGTGCATAGCCGCGGAGAGCTGCTATTGCACTCCAGCGTTCAGTCACTAACACTACTAAACCGGTAAGTTACGGGACATTCAAATGCCAACTGACTGACAGCGAGTTTCCCATAAAAATGATCTTACAATTCTGTGCTTCAACTCTGTGTTCGCTAACCTGATGATAACTTTCACTTACATGATAGGTTTTTAGAGCTCGTTATCCTCCAGGCAGTTAGATAAAGCGAAGACTGTAAATTTTAACGGGGACCGAATGCAAATGTTTTGTGTAACAATGAGCTATTATTACTGACGAGGACAAAATTATTATCCTCGCTATGATTTAAAAGTTTTTGTCAACATTTGTCCAAGTGTTTTTTTTAATATAGCAAGGGGTTTACAACATAGCATTTGCAAACATAATATTGCTCTTTAGAAAGCATAAATAATTTCAGAAAAAAGGATGATTACCAGGGTCAGTATTATTACCCCCCGAAAAACTGGTCTTTTCATTGACCCACAGCACAAACCGTTGTTGTGCAATGACGGGTTTTAACTTTGTAATGCTCAAAGCTTGCAAAATCAGGTCAAAACTGAGGACTGTCTTTCAGTTTACACATAGTATTAAAACCCTTAGCAAAGATTTGAGCTGTCACCAGAGAAAGCATTATACCAAAAGCAAAATTAATCAATTTAGATTTCTGTCAAGAAATTCAAAGAGTGCCACACAGTACAGAACAAGCCTGGCATATGAAGGTATGTATCTTGTGAAATGTGAGAGCTTGTACTGGCAGAGATAGGAAGCAAAAGATTTCAGACACTGTGGAAAGAAATCAAGTGAGAGATGTGTCTAAAGAACAACTGCCAAGACATTACTCAATGACTGAGCCAAGTCAGAAATGATAGTCTCAAAGAAGACAATCACTAGAACCCTGCACAGGAATGGACTGCAAGATTGCAAACCAAGAAAAACTCCACTTATGCAGGAATGACACCTTTAGGCTAGACTGAAGTATGCTAAAGAAAACTTGGAGAAAGACTCTGTATACTGGAAGCGTATCCTTTAGTCAGATGAGACAAAGCTAGAGCTCTGTGCTCATGGCTCATAGAAATGCTGCTTGTGTTTGAAGAAGTAAGAGGCGTACAACCCAAAGAACACCATCTCCACCATGTAACACAGTGGTAGGAGTATTGTGCTGTGGGGATCAGTTCATCTGAAATGTGGAATCTTCTCAAGGTGTAAGGAATTGTGAAAAAAGAAGGATTTGTGAAGACAATGACACAATTATAAGTCTCTGCTTGTGAAGAACAAAGCATTTTAGGTCCTCACATAGGGGAGAAAAGCGCTATATAAGAACTAGTCCATTTATTGTGTAGTATTTGAGATATTCATGTTCAAACATTGCTTTAGATTTCAAATTGTGGAAAAAAACATTGGAAGAGGGTCAATGGATGATTTTCTTTTTTGAGAAAAGTACATCTTGAAATGTATTTTATATATGAAGTTAATATTTAGCCACCATTATATACCCAGTCTTTGTACCATGCAATCAAAAATGGTCAAGCAGAAGGCTCATGGTGATGAGATCAAATGACTCCATTCATAGACACTGCACTTTTTTCCCTAAGGGACATGGTCATGAATGTAGCCTTTTCACAGCTCTAATCGCTTGTCTTTTCTATAGATCGAAATCCAGATTTCACTTTGGTCACAGTCCTTACTGCGACACTGCCCAGTTGAGCAGGCTTTGTGACTGAAGCCTCTTTCAAGTCACTTTTTCTTCTTTTGTGCCATTTTGACTACATCCATCCTGCCTTATATCAACAGTTCAGGCTGGTGTTGATGGTGTAGGGAATATTTCCTTGGCACACTTCGGACCCCTTTGTTTTCCACAGAGCATAATTGGATGCTTACGTTACATTTTACACCTGTGTTCAAGCATGATCATCCTTCATGTTCCTCAATTCATTTGTTCACTTGCCTGCATTTCTTTATGCAATGTAAACATGACTGACAGGCTGTTAAAACAAGATTGCAGTATAATTAAAAGACAACAACTTACTTTTGAGTGACATTTTGTCCATTTAAAAAAAATTCAACTTACTACTAATCATCCTAACCCAGGTAAATGAAGCAGACACTGTATTGTGGAAAACTGACAACAAAAGAGTAACGTTAATGTCCACGGTATCTATTCAAATCCTTTACTGAGGATGAATGTGCCATGTGTATTATTTGAATATTCAGCTGTAGTGCTTTTTCTTCCCTTACACTGAACGCTATTATTCAAAGAAACAAAAAAGAAAAAAACCCAGCACAAAACAAAAACATCTATTTCTTCATATTTGAAAAGTGTTAGTGTACATGGAAAACAAATACAACTATTTTGAATCAAAACAGACTTTATACTGTACAAAACACAAGGGAGTTAATTACAAAATAAACAGTCTACATACTTCAAAAACAATATCTCGATGACAAAACTCAACATTTCCCCTGCCACAAAACAAACAAACCTAACCTGTTCTGGACCTGCTTCTATCTGCAATCTAAAATATGAGCAATGATGGATGGTTAAAGCATTATTAAATATAGATCATTTTGACCTGTAAAACTGTTTTATGTACTATTTTGTTTTTAAATGACACATAAAAAATGAAGACAGCTAATCTAGCTGTGCACGACATTAGGAAAAAGAAGCACTAGGCAGTTCAGATTCTATTACTTAATGGCATTATGATTGCATTCAGTTTCAAGCCAACAAGAACACATTAAAAAAAAAACCAAAAAAACCCCATCATGTAATTTCTCTAGAACAGCCCTTTCTTTGAAATAACAAAGCAGGGCTCCCTATTATGCATGAGGCAGCAGTAGAACCAGTGTATTTGTGTTCATTTAAGTTCATTTAAGGACAGGAATGGAAGGTAGATACAAGTGAAAAGACCACTACAACAAATTACACGATGTAAACTTTGCATATGAAGGGATTTGTCCCAGTTTTGTGGTTTCAGATAAAAAAAACAAAAAACAAAACCCCAAAACAAATCCCTGAAATAATCAAATTTCAAATTGGATTTTCCAACAAGGAAGTGATTAGGCCTTCAGAAGATTCCGCTTGGCAGCTCCTTGCTGAACATGCCATCAAAGTCCAACTCCCGGCTCATCAGATCATCCTCTACATTCTCAAGCGCCCACTGATGGTCAGTCAGTTCCAGTGCCTCCCACTCAGCCTAAAAATCAAAAACAAACAGCACATGAAATTCCCAAAGCCCCATGCCACCAACCCCAACCCCTCTGTACTTAATTCAACTAATTATAGACATAAATACTTTGAAAGCTTTATTTGTATCTGCAGGCATGGCCATGGCAGCACCGCTCATCTGCTCCTGCATGATCCTCGACTGGTCTGCGCCTGTGGGCATTCAGTCACAAAGCAAACACATGTGGGCATTTTCACTAAAGTCACATGATGTAATCTAATTATCCGTTTTAACATTTAAACCAATTTCAACTTTGTGAAAGACTCCACTTACCGTTATCTTGGCCTAGGATTAAAGAGTACATGCTTCGAAGTCCAAACACATTCAGGAAATACCAGGATGCTGAGCTCACCCTGCATAATACACACGCGCAAACAAATCACAATGTCATCACACACTAGCTTAAGCATTTTCATATCAATAAATAATCAGTGGTGCAGTATGAGTCCAAGTATCTTGCTTTATTACCAAGAAGCATCCAATGAGAGCAACTCTATTCCTTGTTGCAGCATGGGCTTAAAGCGCAGCGTGAGAGGGAAGGGAACCTTAGCTGTGCGAAGGAAGCACAAGCAGAACATCGGCATGTAATTTCTATTTAAATGATATCTTGACAAAGGCAAACTTGCTTTTGTGTGGGTCAGGGAGATAAATTACTTGTTACAAATCCTGAAAAAGTCCAGTTGATCCAGCCACCGATGAGGATCATGGGAAGCACGTTGGTTACGTTGCCCTTCATCATATCTGTCAGCATGCTCGGATCTGTGAACATTTTATGGGTAAAGAAAAAACTTTAAACGCCAGAAAACTGAAAAGATATTAATAAATACTTTTTGCACATTGGTAGGAGATCCAGCTTCACTCTTGATGTAGAGACAGGTGTCAAGGTGTTAAGTTGCTGGTTGGCCAACCTGCAGTATGTATGCTGGTACCATGTACTCTAGAACTAAGGCTGATGTAGACTTCTGTGGGGAACCTTTGTAGAGTCTATGACGTCACCTACGTAAGTTGCAGACATTTATCCTTGTGTGTGGTTATGTGTTAACTACAGTGTGGTCGTGTCCTGGTGTTTTACATGCAGTCCCAAGTAGGGATGGGTACCGGTATCTGGCGCCTTGATGGCACCGGTTCTGACATAAACTGTAGTAACCAGACCGAAAAGCAGCGCACATTTCGGTGCTTTTTTTTTCCTGAGCTGTGATACATTTTAGATTCTAGCCAATCATTTTACGTTTCCGAGGATAGTAGGCGGGGCCAGGTACGTACATTCTTTTAGAGCAGAGCTACAGATTAAAAATGACCAAGGCAAAGCGGTCAAAAGTCTGGCTGTACTTCACAGCAAAATATGAAAACTCAGCAGCCTGCAACAAGTGCTTTAAGCTGATACTGTGAGACTGTCAAAGGAGGTAACACCTCAAATCCGATGAAACACCTGGCGACGCATAGCGGGTTTTTTTAAAAGCCAAGAAATGCGCTGTATTTGATAGCTTGCTGCGAGACCTCACACCGGGCACATCTACTGCGGGTGGGTTGCCTGTTATCGGACCCGGAGTTAGCAACATCCCCCAAAAACCCGAAGAGGAGAGTCCTGGCCCCTAGCCCTGCCAGTGTAGCAGAAATGATGAGGATGATGATACAGCAGCAGCCGTTCTTCTCTGCGTGAGTAGCTTAATGTTGTTCGTGTGTAATTTATGTTGAGTAGGCTAACCACGTTATTACATTAATGCACGTAAGGTGAACTAGCAAACATCATCATAGCTACATGCGGCTGTCTTCTTGTTTGATGGCAGATACTCCCTGCACCCTGGCCAAAAAGGCTAAAATGACCAAAGAAAAAGTGGGAAACAGTTAAACATGAGAGGTTTTTGGACAAAGTTTGTGTTTTTTCCATTGATTAAGCACTGCTTCCAGCCAAGAGTGATACCATATTTCCCCTATAGCTGCAGAAAAGGCTAACATTGTTATCTTTTTACAAAAAAAACAGCTAAACATAAGAGGTTTTTGGACCAGTTTTGTGTTCTCCATTCTTTAAGCACCGGTTTAAGCACTGGCACAGTTTCAAAAGTACCGGTTTGGCACCGGTATCGGATAAAACCTAAACGATACCCATCCCTAGTCCCAAGTCAACAGAAAAAAAGAAAATGCTTTCTGGTAACCAGGTTTTAGTTTTTCCCTGAGCCAAACCTATTTGTCCCTCTAGTCTTTCCACTTCTTTGTACATTTCCCCCATATCAATCCTGATAGTTTCAGCACTCTCCCCCTCCAGGAATTTGCTGACATGTGGGAGTCCTTATACTGATGCTATTATACTGGTAACTTCTCTTTATAATTAGATGATTGTTATTGCCTCACTGTTAAATTCAAAAAATATGCAGTGGAAAAAGTTAATGTACAGGAGGAATCGACGGTGCAGAACGAGCCAAGCATAATAGTTGTGGGCTGTGTGGATGTGTTGTGTAGTTACAGTTCCAGGGAAGTGCATTTTAAGTTGTGCTGTAGGGTTTCAGAGGGGTTTGCATGAATCCCCAGTCAGTCTGCTGAAGAGTCCTGCTCTAGGCTGTGCTTTGTTTTTCATGCAGATTGGTTTAACACTATGAGACAACACTTTGCATGGTCACATTTCAGCCATCTGAAAAAAGACTTTTTGGGGGTTTACATTTTACATTTATCTCAATAACAATAAAATTTTATTTGACTTTTTAACTATGCACCTGAGCCGAGAATCTTCTGAGACCTCTCCACTTGGCCGAGAAAAAATGTTAGTACTGTCTCCCAGTTTAATAGTGACTTAGTAAAACTCTCACAGGGCCTGATTAAAAAGGGTCTAAAAAATGTTATTTCAGTGAGGACATTCAGTTGACCCTCTTGCTATTTGTGTGATCATCCCGCTGATGAAGGCTGCATAGAATTGAGTCATCACCACTGCATTGTTGCATTTTCCATATCTTTGTATTGATCACACCTAAAAACGATGGCATTATTGAACTAGATTAGAGATTTGAGCTACTTCTAAAGAGATCAACCACAAATGTGCAGGATCTAACCCGCAGCGTTTCATTAGGTCAACATTTTCATTCATACTCCTCCTTCCTCTTTGTTGTGTTCTTTCAGTACTGGATGACACACAAAAACACACCAATGAGCTCTGCGGTTATGTAATCACTGATAATATGTTACCATAACTGCATTACATTACAAGACAAGTAGTAATGCTCTTTGCAGCCACATCATCTGATGTTATGAATCAATCAACACACTTTAAATATTGGTATGACAGCTTTGTACATTCAGTATGCTTTTACTGCCCCCCCCCCGATGTCATGTTTGAACCTTGAAAGCAGGGATGGACAATTAAGCTAAACTGCCCATCTCTGATGCTAATACTAATAATAAAAATAAATAAATAAATAATAATAATAACAACAATAGAGTCCCGATCAAAAAATTTAACCCTTGTATGGTGTTCGGGTCTGTGAGACCCATTTTCAGTTTTTTTCAAAAGAAAAATTAAACAATGAATTATTTTTTTCAACCTGAAATTCATTGGCTTTGGCTTATTTTCTGTGAAGAACATAAATCCGAACTAATTTTCAATGACCTCATACTGTACCTCCCGCCACACATTTACATTACATACAAGGTGATCGGGTCCACTGGACCCAGGTCTAATAAAAGTGTTGAAAGTGTAGGTCCTATGTTCCCATACTCTGTCTTCCTCCTTTCTGGTGCTGCTGATAGTGTTTTCTTCCCCTCCTGCTCACGCACAAAGTTGCAACATTGTTGAAAATTCAACTATCAACACCGTTTGCTCTTACATTCCCGCACATTTTACCCTCTTTCTTGAGGGATCCAAATTTTATTTTCTCATACCCTGTCCCTCCTGCAAATTAGGGGCATAATACTATAAATAAGACTTTGCCAGTGTGGTTCTTTATCACAACTGATCAAGATGGCAAAAGATTATCTGCTGCGAGGGCCATCCAACTGATTTTGGAAGAGAGAGGGGCTTCGGATGATGATGTTGACAAAGAGGTTTCAGAATATTACACATTTCTGAAAATTCAGAGTCTGACAGTGACTTTGAAGAAGAGGATGAGGTTGAGCACCATTTAGTAACAAAACGAAGACGAGTACCCCATCTGCAGCCAGCTCCAGGACCAGAACAAGCCCACCAGACAGCAAGTGAAGAAATATGGATGTCAATAACTGGTGAAATTGAATGGTCTTCTTGCCCAAGAAATGAGTCACCCTGCAGAGCTGTTACTGTGATAAGCCAGGGCCAAAACGGCTGACAGTTACTCATGTGCAGGACATCAAGTCTTCATTTGAGCTTTTCATCCCAGATTCCATCCAGAAAATTATTCTGGATTGCAGTAATCTAGAAGGATGGTGTGTTTTTGGAGAGAGGTGGAAGGAGATGGACCAAATTCATCTAAGAACCCCAAAGGCCTACTTTGGGGTTCTCATCCTTGCAGGAGTTTTCAGGTCCAAAGGGGAATCCACAGAATCCCTGTGGGATGCAGAAACTGGCAAGAACCTTTCCGTGCATCAATGTCTCTAAAAAACTTCCACAAAATTTCCAGGATTATCCGTTTTGATAACCGAGACGACAGACCAGCTCGACGGCAGAGAGACAAGCTAGCTGCCATCAGGACAGTGTGGGATAAGTGTGTGCACCACCTCCCCCTGTTTTTTACCCTGGGCCTAATGTCACCATTGATGAGCTGCTGATCCCATTTAGTTGTGAAACATATTGCTTCACGTGTAAATGTGTTGTGTCTTTCCACTCACTCCACTTGATTATAACTGATTTATTTTTTTATAACATTTTATAAAAAAAACCCCAAAAAACGAGAAGCACATTAATTCATAAATGTGATCCAACAAAGGTAAAGGGAAAAAATTAACCATGTTTGCTGTTCATATGGCTTGTAATTGGGATGAAGTAAACATCTGTTGAGTAATTTAACATAAAATTGTTTGATAGTGTTAATTTGGAAAGCCAAAACTCTAGCGGGTCCACCAGACCCATGAACATTGGCTGAGTAACAAAAATATGAACACCACACAAGGGTTAAGACCACGTGTAAGGCAAAAAAAACAAAAACAAAAAAAACATTTTGTATGGTTGGATCTTAGCAAGGTTCCAAGTAGAGCTTCAACATGCAAGACATGGGAGTGAGACTAAACATTTTTTTGAGCATGCAAAACTGAAAACAATGCTTAACTGAAACAGGCTGCTATCAAGTGGTCTTAAACTTTTGATTGGGACTGTAGTAATGATAATGATAATAATAATAATAATAATAATAGGCAAGAGAAAAATTTGTATTGTGCTGTTCTGGTTTGCTCCAGCACTTTCTCCTCCTCTGCCTCAGAAACTCTTAACCTTCTTCCTAACTCACTTTCCACCTAAGGAGTTGTGTAATCAGCCAAGACTCTTTATGAATTATTTTACCAGGACTCAGCCGTAGCTTTAAGTGGAAATTCTGAGAATCTGTTATTAAAAAGATTTGTGAAAACACTGCTCGTGTCCCATGTCTTTCAGCCACATACTAAACAACCACTTTTTCTTTTAGAAATTAGAAGTTGTTACAATTTCACAGCTTGCTCTTTATTTAAAAAAAAAAGAAGAAAAAAGAAAGAAAGAAAGAAAAGAAAAAAGTCTCACCTGTCATTGGAGAGGGTGGGACAACCTTTCTCTTGGTCTTCTTGAAGAATCCGTCTTCTTGGTTATTGAAGTAGAACTTCCTCATCAAAAAGGACTAAAACACACAGAAATAATCACTGATATAGTCAAAGCACATACAAGTAAACAAATACATTGGAGTTCTCACTCAACTTTGCAACTCACTTTAGGCAGCCTACCTGTTTGGGAATGTATTTTCCATTTTCTCTGAGAATTCTGCTCCGAATAAGTACCTGGCTGGATTTGAAGAAAAAGTCACACATATGAGCTCAGCATTGATTTTCCTCCTTGTGATTCGGTTTATAATTAGATATGATGTATGACGCACCTGTCAGAAACTTGTTCTAATGTCAGCTTTTTGTCACTTTGAAGGAGAATAGATACATAATGCCGTATAACCCCAACCAGAAAAGTGATGAAGACAATGGGCAACACCACCCAAAGTCTAATATTGGAGTCCAGCAGAAGCTCCGGCTCAGCCATTCTGTCTGGTTACCTGACAGGAAAAATAAATAATTAAATAAATAATAACAACAACAACAAAGCAAAAATAAGAACAGCAAACAGAAAACAAGTATAGCTGCTTAACCGAAGACACCAGCATGCTTTTGTTTGTAATAAATAAAAGAGAAGCTGATGTCGGGCTGAGACTGACGCTAGAGGGATGGGCTGTCAGGTCCTCCGGTTAGCTAGCCAGCGCCCGTGACATTAGCGACTGACACTGAGCTAAGAAAATCCAGTTAAACGACACCATTTGAGTTCATCTTCGCTGTGTGGTAACTATATGTTGAAAGCGTCAACATCTTTATTTAATAAAACTGCTATGTGGATTAAGAAAGCTGACGCTAGCGGAGTGCTAATGTTAACATTAGCCGGGTGGCTACCTGCTTCTGGATGTATGGGTCACTGTAGATGAGAGCTGGCCAGTGGTCTCAGCACAGCAACCGCCGCTCCTAGTGTGTTCCCCAGCGGCGACAGACACACCCCATGCACCGTGTGAGGTAGTTAAATAACTTATATAATTTCTAACGGTTCGCATCCACTACTGTGACCACTGCTCTGCGTTGGCTCTGGGAATGAGGAAGATTTTCTGCTTCTGCAGCTCATCCGCGTCGCAATCACTGGGACTGCAGCGCCACCTCGCGGGGATGTACGCATTGCATTTTGCTTTTTCTTCTTTGTCACACCAACCCCTCTGCATGTCATCCTTCACCACATCCGAAAGGTTATGGTTAACCTTTTTATTTACTATATTACATTATTACATTATTTAAGGCTTAACATATGTCTTTCGGATTTTCCTGTTTCATGTTTTTCGTGTCTTCAATGACAACTTGCAATAGTGCAAATACTGTTTCACAGCACTGTACAATCCCTCAATTCATCTTTTTCTTTCCTTTTTTTCATATTTGTCACATTGAAATGTGTCAGATCATCAAAGAAATGTTAATAGTAGACAAAAATAAAACCAGAGTAATTACAAAATTCAGTCTTTAAACTAGGGTTTTGTTAATTTAAGCAAAGGGGTTACCCAAGTCTACCTGGCCTAATGATAAATAGTAAGTTCAGTGTAAAGTTAGTGTTCATAATTAAACAATAATAGAGGGACTGCATAAAAACGACATCCACAGGAGAGTTCCAAGAAGAAAACCACTGCTGACCAAAAAGAACACAAAGGCTCACCTCACATTTTCCAAATCCATTTTGATGATTCCCCAGACTTCTAGGGAAATATTTTGTAGACTGATGAGACAAAAGAAGGTTTAAGTCATGTTACATCCTATCATAGAGCATTTTATAAAAAGGACATTGGACATCGTACCAGCAGTCAAACTTTGTGGTGGTAGTTTGTTGGTCAGGGGCTGCTTTGCTGCTTCAGGCCAACTTGGTGTAATTTATGAAGCCATGAATTCTACCAGAAAATCCGGAAGGAGAATGTCTTTTTTTTTCTGCATTGTCATTAAATGAAATCATCAATTAAAAACTGTATTTTGTATTTACTCTGGTTTGTCAGATTCTTTTTTTGTTTGTTTGTTTTTTGCTGATCTGAAACATGTAAGTATGCAAAATATGCAAAAAACAAAAAACCCAAACAAACAAAAAAAGAAACCGATTTTACTGTTTTAATGCACCGCATTAGGGGACACCTTGTTGTAAAGGATCATAACCAGTAGGTGGCGGTAATGCTCACTTAAATGCTTTTTAATGCTCTTAAAAGGTGAAGTCAAAACGAAGAAGACTCTTGTCGCTACAGACCGGAACAAGTGGAAAAGCTTCTAGAAAGGTTTTGAGTATCAAGCTGTCATCGTGTGTAGGGGGGTGATTTATTAAAACGGTATGTAAAACTGACAAAAACTGCATTTTATATCTGCTTCCGGTTATTTATTTATATAAAGCTTACGTTTTGCTACAGCATCCATGAGACGTATCAATCAAGCATACAGCGAGCCCTAAAGTGACCTTGCTGTGTTAGCGCCTGTAAGCAAAGTACAAAATCAGCCTGTTTTATATAATTACACAATTAATGTCCTCAGTTAATCTCCATATTATGTGCTTTGTGTTTCTGCAGTTATGAGTAAGATCAGGCCTGTGACATCTCTGGCTGCCTTTCATCTTTAGCGTAGCTCAACTCATGTTACGTAACGCCAGTTACTTAATCCTCTTATGTTGCTGGTCAGTTGACCCATTTTACAGTGGAATAATTACTAATATATTTTTTAAGTATGAAACTACTTCTGCTTAGCTGTAATACGTGTAATGAACATATTACACGTTTGTTTTATTATGTTACAAGTGAACGTTAAAGTGGTTAGACGTATCAAATGCTATGTGTTTCTTTGCAATTGTGAGACATATTTTATGTCAAACAGACACACACAAACTATCTAGCCTATTGACCGCATATGTAAAGTGCGAGAATGAGGGTTGTGTTATATCTTTTGACGGCAAACGTTTCTGTTCCCGTGAGCAAACTCCATCCACAGTCTGTGTAACGCAGTGACATATATTTGGTCCACAGTGTCTCTGGAGACTTCATATTTTCACCAGAATGTGATTTGATAAATGAGAGAGACAAGCTGACAACTGTTATTACACTCTATGGGATAAAAATCAAAATGTATAATTAATTGGAAAAGAAAATCATAGTCATGAAAAACGATATTATTTTTATGTAGGTTATATGTACATTACAAAAAGTTTTAATATTCCTTTTTTAAATGGAAAAACTAGTAATATATCCTCACTGAACCATGATCTGTTAGAGGTAAAGAACACCATTGCACGAAACATTGATTGAAATGGTTAGTAACAGTTAGTACTAATAATTTTTTTCCCCCCCAAATCTTTCCACAGAATTGTCCACAAACGCTTGTGCTGTACTAAACCATGGGAACTGATAGAAGGTGAAGTCCGCATAATCCTTGTGATGGTCAGGAACACGTTGAACATGTGCTCATATATTTAAGTCTCTGGTGCTTTTGCAGGATTAGTCGTAGTGAACGTACTGGAAGATATGGTTCTGATATGCGCAAACACGATCCAGAGTGCTATGGAAAACGAAGCAGAGATGTGGAAAAGGATTATGATCGACGCTGGGTCCACGATAGGTACAAAGACTACTGTGATGAACGCAGGGACCAAGACAGCCCAGAGGTAAGTGGAGAAGAATTCCTTTGCGGCTTGAAGTACGTCTTGATCAGAGTGATACTGAATTTGTTGTCTTTGAAGTTAAACATCACATTAATATATATTTTTTTCTCTTACAGAGGAGCCGAAAACGACGCAGCAGCAGCAGATCTGATGATGAATATGATGGTGAATATCCAGAGCAGGACTACAAAATGGAGCAGGAGGAGGAGAGCAAAACGATTATGCTGAGGGGGCTCCCTGTCCACGTCACAGAAGATGATGTAAGCTCACAGTTCACCATTCAGTGGCATTCATGCTTTTTAAAGGAAAAAACACACCAAACTGTATATCATATAACTTTTTCACGAGTTGTAAGGAATCTCTTGCAAGAAGTTCAAAGCTGTAAACTGTCACAGGATGGGTGTAAAACTTTGGCACAGAAATCAGCAACACTTCACGACCTTTGTGTGTGTGTGTGTGTGTACAACTGTGCACCTTGCCATCTTTCCCTTCCCTATATGGAATTATCCAGGTGTTAATCTGAGCATTTTGGAGAGGGGGATTGACATCTGTCATAATTAATATACACTGGGAAAAGGAAAAAAAAATAGTGTCTTGTTGGTAAGTACAACAATGTGTCAAATATGTCAACAATGTGTCAAATAATAGATTAAAAACTGCCCTAAACTTTACCACAGGCGAAAGTGAGAACACACATTCCCAACGCAGACATTAGTAAGTCTGTAAACTACCTGCTCATTAGTAAAAAGTCTGTATGATGTTGGATTGTGATAGGATATGCTGGGCTGAGCCGATAACATTCAGGGTGGAATGATTGTAAAGCACACATTTTGAATAACTTTATACACGACTTTGGTGCACAAGTTTGAATTTCTTTTAGATTTTCACTAGATGTCACTTCCACCAGACACTTCTGAAAGCCATCAACAAGCTTCTGTTATAATTCCAACTGAATTTTTGACCGATTTTCTTGGCAGAATTGCTAAAATTTATTTAAATTATATTGGTTGGGACCCTGGAAAAAGGAGAGTCCAAAAAATATTTAAAAGCCCAAAATTACCATGATATTCATTTTCATGATGAGTCTGCGTGGGTTCTTTATGGGTACTTCAGGTACTTTTTACTCCCACAGTCCAAAGACATACAGTTATTGGGCTTAGGTTAACTGGTTATTCTAAATTGGGAACATGTACCTCATGGTTCACAACCAGTTTCCAGAAAGATGGTTTTAAGTAAGGAAACAGTAAGTAGGAAGAAGATCTGTGTTCTGATGAGTCTCACGTCTGCTTCTGTTTTGCAGATGCGTACAGCTCTGGAGCAGCTACAGGGACCACAGCCTGTGGACATACGTTTGATGAAGAAAAGGACAGGTGAGCGATACTCTTCAGAGGAACGTTCCTCGTTCCTTTCCGCGCTTGATCTTTAAACCCATCTTTCCTATTTTATTACAACCCCTGGAAAAAGAAAATTAAATATTGTCGTAGGGTTCTTTGTGTCATAGAAATTCTGATTTGATGACATGGACAGGTAAGAAGTTAAGGGTATGTAAATTCTACCATCATGATGTTGTAAACATCCCCGCCGCCGTGCAAGCCCATTGTAACTTTGAATTTTGCACCAAAGCATTTTGACTAACACGCCTCCCGTCTATATTTGAATGCTGTCTCTAGGTATAAGCCGAGGTTTCGCCTTCGTGGAGTTTTATCACTTGCAAGATTCTACCCGATGGATGGAGACCAATCAGGTTGCTTCAACAATCACCAAGTCTAGAAATATTCTTGGAGATTAGAACCCAAATTAACCAGTACAGTAATGATGGCACTTTACAAAAAGCCCAATTTGTTTGTATTTAGCCAAAAAATCTTGATCATAGATCTGTGATATCTGAGATGTAGTATTTCAGATATCACACATCTGGTGATGCTTCATAGCAGCATTATTGAATTTTTGTTTTCTGTGAACACCACTGTAAAAATGCACATTTGTTTGGTTTATTCTCTTACAAATTTTAAGTTTATTCTCTTAAAGCTTACAAAAGAGGGAGAGTTTGCTTCCTGTTAGCAAGTGGACTTGTTTAGTACCGACTGCCCCGGGGTTTTTTGCACATTCTGCTCCAGCTCTGTCACTTTGATAGTTTCTCATCTCCATTTATTATCCGAAGACTGGAGTGAGATGTGGACGGGCTGGCAGCACTCCGGTCCCAAACACTCAATCCCTCATTCTCTGAACTTCTCTTCCCGTCTCTGCTCCTTTTTTTTTGTCCTTGAGACACCCCCATCTAAGCAACAAGTTAAAACCTAGCCACTCTTTCCTGTTCCCTCTGCTCTCACTCATTGGGTGGGGTAGCACTGGGATCTCAGCACTTGCCTCTTTGGCTCAGACGTGTCGTATTTTGGTGTAACTGTTGTTTGTTTGTCTTTATTTTATTTCACAGAACAAGTTGGTGATCCAGGGGAAAACCATCGCAGTGCATTACAGCAA